ATTAAACATCAATATTCTAATCGCGAATATATTTGCTTCATTATGGAATCACGATAATGTTAGAAATAACTGATTTGTCAAATAACGGTTAAGGAGAAAACTGACTACAGTAATTACGAGATACTGTATAGCTAACCTTTGATCAATATATTAATTTATCTATTTCAAAGATGATTTTCTTTTACTTATTTCAAGGTGCATTTTAAGCAAAAATAAAAACTAATGCATCAAAATGATTTTCTACTGCTAAACAGTATGCCACCTTTACATCAACTTTCATTAGTTATGCTGTGAGGTAGTTACTCACGAAGGACAATGAAGGCGGTCCCATAATATCGTGGAGTGGTTGGAATTAGACATCAGCACCGTCTGATTCCGGCTCAGTAGTCTAGAGTTTAAGCGTCCACGCACTAGACCTAAGATCTTTGGTTCGAGTCCCGTGTGTGGGACCGTGGATGCGCACTGCTGAGGAATCCAATACTAGGGCGAAACGGTCGTCCTGTCCTTCCAGGTTTTCAATGGTGGTCTGACATTGATCAGTCCATGATCTCAATCATGTTTGATAATTAAATAAATTGAAATCTACTTGTAAGTGGGTTCTAATACGTGTGAATTACCACTCCATAAAAAAGGATTACTTGTCTTACAAAAGGTTAAAAGGTATTTACAAGTTATTCAACCAACTATTACGTCATTAATGCTCTGAGTAGGTAGACATGAAGAATAAAAGCGTGAGTACTTGAATGTTTATTATTATTAAATGTGAGAAATTAGTCAAATACTTGAAAACAGAATATTATTTAAAAAATTCTATATTATTATGAATTATTGCAGTGTAAAATGAAATATTTTCAATTATGAGTTCGCGCATATAAATCTGTATTCTGGGAAATAATTTCAAACATCTGACGAAGAAAACAGAGAACTATAGCGTTTTTCTTTAACTAACTTCATCAATTATACGCTGGAATGAAAGGACAGATAGTCTACCACTGACGAAAATAAACAAAAAAGGATGACAAGTGAAATATAAGCAATAAATATACTACAAAACCAAAGTGAGTATATGTTCTTTCAACTGTTTCAAAGAAACATATGTAGTGTTCAATGGTAGTACACTAAAAGGCATTATTTGTTAGTAAGAAACTATCATTTCTCATTATTCGGATTATTTTGTCCCGCCTTAATCCTACTTCAAAATGAAATAGATGAACTTTATTTTCATGTTGTTACATATCAAAAACACAAATACTCATACATGCACACTAAATACAAGTAAACCGTTGGTGATGAAATATGAAAAACAAAAAAATCACGCTGTTAGAACAGGGTACATCACTGTAAGGACAAATAATTGCAAAAATATGCGTAATAGTACTTTGTTAAAAATAATTTTATTCATTATTCTACAGATAACAAGAGTCTGTTTGTAGATTATAATGACAATGTTAAATGCCAATATGTTTCATTGACAAAGATTATTGAAAGTTTACATCATGAACTGCTCTTAGTTATGCAACCACTGAAAACCATAAAGCATTGAATAGTTGTTTTATCCTAGTATGGAACACCTAATGAGTGGACATCCATGACCCTACCGCGAAACTATGAAAATTAGCAATATCCACGAACATCTTAAACTAAAAAAGTATGGCATTTGTCAAGCGCCAATAGTTATAAACAAGTGAAGATTATCTAGACGACAGAAATATCTTTGTCGGCTTTGTTGTAAATGAAGACCGGTTTTCTTGTAAATGTTAACTCTTTCTTACCTCAACTTTTAAAAGGATTTTTTAAATAAGGCCCAATTGTTCATTTATCGGGTTACGTTTCAGTTCATTTACGGTTTGTAGACTCTGTTCAATACAACATGTATGCTAAATGGGTCTAAAAATTTTTATGACAGTTGAGTTTCAACACTGTGCTTTTTTTCGACATACACGTACAGACTTTATCCTAATTGTCGCCAAACATCTGGAAGCACACTTAGATCATTTCTATATGAAGTAGGCGCTAAAATTATTCTCAAGAATGACGATGAAAGATCTACAATTGAACCGTATAGCTCAGAGAACGCAACACCAAAAACAAAGGTATTAGGATCAGTAACCGATACACCATATTTTTTAACTGCTACTTAAATTTCGAAAGTTATCTGTGTGCCGAAACATTTACGAAGACCGACTCACTGGTAGTGGTAATCTTCGCAAATATCTCCATACTCATTTTATTTGCGTGCACAACCCTCTAGTTAGAAATAAAATATATCGTAGCTATTTCAACGGTATGTGTGTGCTGACGGATCGTGTGCATCAATTCATTGACTTAACTAAAATTAATCTAATTGATAAAAGTCAATACTTCCATACATAACTTATCAACAGAAACACAGATGACTATCTTGAATCTAACAACAAATCTTACCACTTACTGTCAAACAATCTAAGAAAATATTTAATAATTTGTGGTAATATAGTTATAAGAATTTATTATTTAAAAAAAACACTTTTAGACTTTCTTTCATTGAGGGAAAGTAAAATGAATCCATAATAAAAGTAGATTTCACTGTAATACTGAAAAGACATTTGAGTAGATAAAAATGAAGCACTGTAATGTCCAATACACCAGTTTTCCATCGTAAAACCTACATACTAAAATATTTTTATACGCTAAATTCATAAGCTTATTGAATTATAAAGTTAGGATATGGGATGAGATTAACCGAAACATCTTCAGTGTTCAGTAACTGCATGATATCTGGCAGCTTGAACCATGTTTCCATTCACTTAATGGATATGTGCTGCATATTGTAGTGTAATTTCATGGAGGATCTCACTTCAGGTGTTTGGAGTTACTCATAACTATCTGCTACAAACATGTCAGTGTAGCAGCCCGAATAAAAAAAGTAGCAAGCGTTAGAGATTGAGATGAAATATTTGATGAAAATTTTACTCTACCATCTAGCACTAACTCACCAAAAAAGCTGGAATACAACCAAATGTGCTAAGTACAATACACTTACTGATAAGTGGAATGCTGGGAATAACCTCACGACAATTACTTTAATGAGACAATACTAGTTGTACGAAAGTTACCCAGGAAGAAAAGTATTATTTGTCTACATAATTTTCAAATGAATCATAAATAACATGAAATGAAGTTGAAACACACTATACAACAATAGGATCATCTCTTTGAATCAATAACTATTCTAACTGATAAATCAATAGTTGGTGATTACTAAAAATCACATGATACAGAAACTTTAGTCAATACTTCAAATAGCATCCATCATCGCATCATTTAGATTGTGTAAAACTTTTCGTGAACAATCTGTATATACGTATACGTGTCTTATTCAAAATGTAAATCAATATGGGATTATTATCAAAGGAACTCCGTCTGTAAAGTATTTTAGTCATATATAAGCTAAGCAGTTATTACTAGACTAAATACTTTCACAAGTTTGGATTATTTGCATCGCATACAATTCAACAATTATAGGTAATGATTTTAATCAACAAATTGGAAAATAGGCTGAATGTAATTACTTTTTTATTAATGTATTTCATTAATGAATGATAATGACCTATCACAAAAGAAATTAAGTATGATGAGAACAAACGATGAATTGACGATTTAACAAAAGATTCATGAGTTTAAAGATGTAACTGCAGGAAAAAAAATGTCATAGAAAATATAGAATTATTTTGATATGTATTGCAATCAGAAAATAGAATGAATTAACCGATAAATTCCTAAAGATAACCAAACAAACATCCATCCATCCACACATATACATACAAACAAACATTATGATATATCTAATTAACAAAATAAACAAAAGATTACAGTAGTTTAATAATTCAATAGTTACAAATATATTGTTTTACTGACAATCATAATAATATTAGTATTCTTCGAAAAAAATATACAAAACATGACAGAACCGAAAAGAAAAACTTAAAACCCTTTTGTTTAACTGTTTGTAACTTCACAATGAAAAAACAAAAACAAAAACAAACATGAGAAATAAAAAAAGAGTATTAGATTAAAATGGAAATAAACATAAGTGTGTACAAAAAGGTATAAGCTGATACTTATTTAAAATTATCATAGGCAACGATACTGGTAATGAAAACAAATTACAGTAGAATACAGTAAAATAATAAAAATGAATAATGATAATAAGAATAAACCAATATATATGAGCTAAAATAATAAATGATGAGTGTATAGATGACTATGCATTGTACAATTTTAATAGTAAATAAGATTCATTTGAATTGATGCCAACATACTCAAACAGTGTTTGATGATAACTATATTCTTCACTAATAATAAATATATATTTTTGTTATATCCCAATGAGTGAAAAATTGTATTTCTGACGTTTTGTGGCTTAATGTAATCAACTTCTTTAATGTTTCCTTAGTACTATTTAAACATATGTAAATTAAATTCGGTTATTTATTTTCTCTGAAGAAGTGGCTTACAATAGGTCACGAAACGTCGGGGATAAAATTTTCTACTCATTGGGATATAACAAAAAAAATATATTTATTATTAACCTTGTACCCAAAGTTCAATTTATCTGAAACTATCAAGACTAACCTTGGCATTGGTACCTACAATATTATTCATTATTGTCAATATGATACATGAGAAAGAGGTCAGTAAAGTATTGCAATTATCAATATGATCAGTAGTTGAGAATGTATACATCTGTATACGTTTGCATAATAAAGCAACATAATTAAAATAACAGTAACTGGAAATACAATTTACAACGAAAAAACGAAAATAAAATTTTATAATGAACAATTATAAACCTTAGAATTGAGTTGGTGAAATTCCACTGAAATCAATATGGGAGAAAACGACTTAACTGTAAAATTACTAGGCAAGTATTTACTAAAGAACGTTTTTTCTGTTTTAATAATAAAAAAACAAATAAAAAACAGATCACAACGAATATTATTTTAGAGAAAAAATAGAAGTCAATATTGAAATTCAGAGATTATTAGGTACGGATTAGGATCGTGGATATTGTACGTCGAATCAGACATTGGAGCCAAATCAGTATATATATCATAGAATTCGAGAGTTGAACAGATTCTGAATAGCTTTAATAAAGATTAAAAAACATGAGAATTCGATAAATAAAACATTTCATATACAATTTACAAACAATTTATTACGTGGAACAATAAATAAACGAGATAATTCTAATCAAACGAGACAGAATCAAATCAATAGTTTCACTATAAATTTCTAATATGATTACTTTCCAAACAAACTCGTTATGTAAGGAGTAACATTCTGATTTAAAAGAATATTTAAAGTAATAATTTCTATTGTCAACAAATTAAATACTAGATAGATTGGAGAAGAGTCATTTTCTATAAGTCACTAATTGAAACATTCATGACGTATGACTAGCCTATTGCTGATTAAAGTAATTTAATTAATAAATGTGGATTGGCAATGTTATGGTCTATGAGAATTGACAAAGGCAGGAATGCGGAAAGTAATAACACATCGTGACATTACGGAATAATTGTACTACAATATAAAATCTATTGGATATATAAGATGCAGATATTTAATCTTAAATTTCAGAAAAACTAAATGTTATGCATTGCTAGTGATCTATAATGAAATTCAACAAAAACTTGGATTCAGATTATCTATCTATGGTAAACATAGTTGAGTCAGAAAAATGGTGCGGTAACACACGACAAGTTTATGTCAAACTAATGTCAACTTATCAATTGTATGGGTGTGGTGGTCGGTATTCAATATAATCCTTAAACTTCGTATATAGTTCGCCCTGATAACCGTCAATAGATAATGCCCAAACGGTGTATTATTCAGAAGGCGAATACGAAAGCGTTGATTACGTTTATTATTACACCACACACAGATATCCAAATTTACAGGTACACTAAACAAGCATGAGATAGTATTGCCAAAAAGCGAGCAGGCAAGCGAGTGTGAGAGTGAGTCAGCGAGTTGAATGAGTAGGTTCAAATGTATGAGTATATGCATAGACAGTAAGTAAGTAATACTCAAGCATACATATTCATACAAGTGCAACAATAAGAAAGGTACAATGATATAGATAAATTGTTATCGTACGGATAACTGTCCGTTAAATAAGTTAACAAGAAGTATTGACCAAATTATTTGTGAACAAACTTGATTACAAGTGAGCTGCTATATTGAAAATAGAATGACTTTATGATGCAAAAGTTTTGATGTTAGACATTTTCCATTGTTCAATACACTATATCTGTATAGGACACAATTATTAAGCTCTTTTTAATATCTATTGAAGGGAAAAAGATGCGGACTGACTTATAGGATAAATAAAGAATTATCAACCTTCTCTATATAAAATTCTCAAGTAATTTGATTTTCGATATCTATGACAAAACTGTTACCTATAGTTTTAAAGCAATTTATAGAACACATTGAAGTCACAAATCGATTGCGTACTTGTAGACAGATTGAGTTATAATTTTGTGAAGACAACAGTTTACTCGCTATGTTTAACATACATGAAAGTAAAACCATAAAATACATTGGTTTTTTTGAACCTGGTGGAATAAACATGTTACTGGAAATCAAAAAGCAGGCTCCGACCATATGAATAAATACAAAAGAATTCAATATTACAGTTATTCAACCTTAACCAAGAAGTTACCACTTTTATTATCATTAGTATGAGCCACCGAGTTGAATGATTTCAAGAAGAATCTACCGTTATTTATCTTTTATATGATATATGAGCTGATAACACGTAATATTGTATAGATTTATAAATGATGACTGAAATTTGAAGGACTTGAATTAGTGGCCTTTAGGTAACATATTTGACTCTACCTGTTATATTTCAATAATAACCAGATCTCAGTTTGTTTGGATTATTCATCCGTTTCAGATACATTTCTCTTAATTTATAATTCAACAAATAACACCAATATATTAATTTCTCAAAACAATCTTTTCATCTCTATCTTAATTAAGATAAGATACAATGAGAGAGTAATTAATCATCAAAGTGACTATCACAAATAGTCTTGGTTGATAACAGTATACTCTGAAGAAAACATTAATCTCTTTAAGAAATTCATATTTAATCTCAAAAAAATGTATTCTAGTTTATTATTTAATACAATTTCAACAACTATTTTCGAGGACGGATAAATTAGAAGAGAATGGACATTTAATTGTATATATGAGCTGGGATGAACATTAATGTATCTACCCAGTAACATAAATGATGAAAGATATCTACATAGAAGAATTAATGTTAATGCTGTCATACAAAAATAAACGAAACTATTAACTGCATCAACCACTTCATTAATCCTGTTTAAACTAGACATGATTCTGGTAGATCTTTGAAAAATCATTTCATAATTAACAATGAACATAAAAACAAAAAAGCTCAATGACCTTTTAAAAATAACTTACCAGAAAAAGAAAAGCACAGTTATTTTGTTTTTTTAAGTTAATACTAAGGGGAAAAATATTGAACAACAAAATCATAGCACTATTATTACTTTTATTACTGTTATGTCAAACACCATTAATATTGGTTTTTGACAGATTTATTGATGAAGGCATATCTTTATTACGGTGAGGAATTCATTTGGATTTTTTCGATCTCTGTTTTATAATATTTATTTACTGATTACGTCATCATTTGTATGATTATGATTATTTTGACTTATTGTATTCAGTGAATCTGATTCGTCAAAAACATTCACAGATGACTGAATTGGATCTGATTCGGTACTACAATTCAATGACTTATCATCCTTGAAACATGGTATATTTCCATTTTGGAGTAAGTTAGATGAAGAAGAGATATTTTCGATAGTCATAAATGAATCGGATGAATGTTGAAGTGAAGGTGGTCGTCGTTGTTCTACCACTATTGTTGTTTTCTTTTCTTCCTTACTTCGTTTTTCCATTATTGCAAAATTCTCATTATTATTAATATTATTATTATTGATAAATTTACCATCTTTATTTATTGTTTGATTATCCAATATACATTCAGTGAATATCTCATTAATAGGATTGGTAGAGATTATTGCGCAGTTTAAATTACCCAAAACCTCGACATTACTATCACTATCAAGTTGTTCGATCGTTGTATTTAACGAATTATCTGACTGGAGATCAGCATTACTATTATTATCAGGACCACACTCATTATTATCACATTCATAACTTCGTATTACTGATATATCCGATGTACAATTTGTTGTGTCCAATGACATCTCACCATTCATTATATTACAATTAGTTAGTGAATTATCATTACACTGTATCACTGAGCTGTTATTCATTAATTCAGATTGTCCCAACGAATTCTCGTCATTGACATCAGTTGGTGTGATTGTATCACAATTAATATTCGAGACATTATTATTATTATTATTATTATTATTATTAACTAATTCTGTTTCTAAACGATTTCTTCTAAGATTTGAATCGATGCTTTCAATGAGAGATTTAATTAAATCTTTATCTTTCTATAAACAGCACAAAGAATAAATAAATAAATAAAATTAATACTGCAAGGATATGCGAAGATTGCTGAATCTCATAGTTCACATCATTAAAATGACAGTTAGAAAACCATTGAAAACTAGGAAGCATTAGACAGTTGTTTCATCTTTAACAGCAGTGTGGATCCACGACTCTACATGGAATCGAGCTAAGGAACCTCAGGTCCTATGAGGACTACTTAACCTTCATAAAGATTAGTACTGATTAATAAAAATGATGGTAATCACAAACAATAGGAAGTGGAACTTGTCTTTCATTTTCCACAGTAAATATATAAAAAATTTAAATGATATTTATTTGTCAAGAATAATGTTTGGCACTAGATACAACCTAACCAGTTACCTTAGTAAATAGTTGTACATTCATTCAGATAACATTAATTTTACATAGATGATGTATAGACCAATAACAAAACCTATTCGTATGAGGTATCGACCTCCAAAACGAAACAGAATCTGGCATTTAAACTACAAATAATTATTAACAGAATAATGTCACGTTTACCAGTGGAGTTTGATCATGTTAAGAGTGAGATATCGTCAATAGCATTGGATTAAGGTCATGCTCTGTATCGTGAATTAGCTGAACTTAGAAATGTGAATCAGTGTGTACCAATTATGTAGTTCAGATCTGACATGCATATATATGCATCAGTCCACGTTGTCATACCTCATTAGCATAACAAGATGAACACCTAATTCATAGAAGCGATTGCGCCAACACTAGTAATGTTTAAAGAAAGACTGCATATAAGGATATAATACAGGGAGAAAGAATTAGTTCGTAAAAAGAAAGGTACAAAGTAATTTAAATCTCACGGTTTAAGGGAAGATAAACAGTGTATTCTCCTACGTGATTGTGATCCATTCTGAGTCATATCACCCAGTCTCCAACCATTGGTTACGATAGGTGAGTGGACCCCAACCGAGTAGTTTGCATCTATCAACATGGCTCAGACCAGAAGTTAGTGACTTTATGGATTAATGTCACGCCTTGGTTCCACTGCCAGTAACTCTCTTCCAATCGTATCCAACACTAGTCAGCATTGCGTAACGTGGTAATCAGTGTTCAGGCATACGTAACACGTGGCCCAACCATCTCAGTCGATGTAGAAAGACAACTTCATCAACTGATTTACCATCATTCCGTAATACCCTACGTCTGATCTCACTATTACTTACCCGGTGATCCCAGCAGATGCGAGCAATATTCCTAAGACATCTGTGATCAAATACTAGTAACTGACGAGTATACATAAATCTACAGTCTCATTATGAGAAACAGTAACTCCATTGAAAGTGACATTATTTAAGGTACCTGAGATATTAAAAATTTAAAGTATTCTGAGACGTTAAAGCCCAAAGAGAATCTCCTACAATAATGGCATAAACGTGTTGTGTTATACGTTGATTAAAACTTGGCAGATTATACTCTGTAAGATGATCCTCATACAACTCAATATACCAAACCAAGAAATTCAAACACACTGCATTAATTCCTAAAGAGACAAATATATCTATGTACTACATCGACACCATCTCAAGATAAAGTGATAAAGCAATGCAACACAATCCGTTATCCGACCGTTGTTCAAAATCATATAAACCAGTGGTAAAAAACTTCTAAAACAAATGTATGTATGTAAAACAAGAAAGATTGGTTAGCTGAACAGTTCACTTCTCGGAGAATTCATTTTCAAAGTTGTACAAGCATTAATATATACTTATTTTTCGAAATGGTAATATTTATAATAATAGCGATAGCAAAATTTAGCTAAACATGATAGCAGTGAAGTAAAACAAATAGAGTTCAATAACTGAACATCTTGTGAACACACATGTTATTTGATGAAAACGGACTCTGCTTTCAAATTCATCTATAAGGTCATTAGAGAGCTGTCAAAAGCAGTTATGTTCCATCTTCTTAGCATTATCGAAGCACTAGCTATATATCTAGAAGAACCACAATTTTGTGTACTAAAGAAACTTGTACAACCTCCTCTTCTACCACAGTCTTAATCTCTCGTAACTTTTCTTTTTCCTCCTTTTCTTTGTTCACAGTAATCTGCATTCCTTCTATCTTCATCGTTATAGACCATTTAGTCTCAGATGATTCGTTTTTGTTCCCACTATTTACCCGACTACAGTCCATCTCAACTTCAACACCATATCACTCTGAGCCTTCTCTTTTCAATTATAATTCTTTATCTATCTGAATTTGCCGAAAAGAGGACTGTTGGCTGAACCAATCTCTTTTATCTTTTGTCTCAACGAGTATATTCCATTATATATATATCATTAAATTGAACCTACATCAGATAGATCCAGCTGAGAATTCGCCCAACGATGTGCATCTGAAACCAGACTTGTTAATGTTTTATTAATGAATAAAGTTTTTGATAAAGCCATTATAGAGGCTATATCTAAATTATTGTTGCGTATATCCAAATACTTTAGACACTTTGATTCACTGAGAAAACTGGATAAAGCGAAAATTCCTAGTGTTTTTATTAAAGTAAAAAGGCGAAAATTGAATAAGCATACGATAGAGTGTACTTTTCATATCAAAAGTATCAAGAAAACAGTTTAATAGTTTGTAGAAAAACCTCTCGAATAATCTATTTGATTGATACTTACATCCAAGTGACTAATAAGCTACTCACTATTTGAACAAAATAATGACGCTGAATTGTAATTGTTAAATAAGTGATTCCATCAGAGAAACGCATTCGCCCATTAAAATAAACTACACTTAAACAGACAACAATCAATTATGTATCACAAAAATTTATTATTCGTAAGCACGATAATATCCAGTAATCAAGATGGGTATTAACACTGTAATTTAATGTTGTTCGACATTTCAGGACAGATTCCTTCGTGACAATCTGATGTCAACCAAACAATCGAATTTTTTTATTTATATAGGAATCAACATTTATTGCCATAAATCATAAGTGAATTATTAGTGAATAACTTATCTAAACTATGCTAATTGGTACATTTATTTCATTAGTATCGTATGATCATTTTAATAAGTGACCTCTATATATAAAACATATGAAAATAATTAAGCTAAATGATGTTACATACATGTGATATAAACTTTAATACAAAAGTAATTACACGAGGAAATCATAAAATGAAAACGTACGATTATGTAAACATCAATTTAACTGGTCCTCCACCTCGATAAAAAACAGCCTACTTTCAATAACTCGTTTGTAGCTTTAGTACGACTGATGATGATTAGTTGTCTCGCTTTTCAAGAACGCACTGCCTTAGAGGTATCATGCTTACTGCGATCTATGCAGTTTCTACGGACAAATTAACATTTTTACTAGTACCGTACAAACGTATACAGTAGAATGAAACACTGCCTCCCTTGTTTCCAGTGACTCCCGAGTTGTCATGTTATATTTTTTATGAAAATTACTTTTAAAATACTGAAATTAAAACTTGTGCACAATATATATGTGCTTTATAATTATCTTCATCGATAAACACTTAATCAACAGCCAAGGTTGTAGGGAGTGTAGGATATATGCATAAAATTGTATTGGAAATTAGCAAACTATGTTGATTGAACGCTCTAAAGTTATCTATGGATTATTAGCAGATTCTTTTTGGAATCTTGACACTATGGTTGCTATTTCTTGTGGGTAGAATTTAACTACAAATATGAACTGTTTATGAAGTGCAAACTTACGCAGTTTAGTTTGAGCTGTATACTTTAACTGCTTGAGTGTTGGTGATGCAGCACACCTCAGAAAATGGGAACCAGTATTTGGAAAATGAATATTTAAATTATTAAGTCACTGGACTTTATAGTAAATATTACAATACAATACCAGTGAAGAACAAGAAATTGAACTAAAACTAAGTTTCTTTTCCACGAAATGCAATCATTCAGTTGATAAACAACAGTTTTAATAAGGTTTTATGGTATGTGATTTAAGAAATATCAACAATTAAATAAATCTTGGAGCTTTTGTAAACGACAAGTTATGCTCCACTACCTGGACAAAAAGTCAAAATATTCCTTGGATAAAACAGAACAACAAAAAGTGTAACTTTGTCGACTACAAGAACCTGTATACATGTACAGACCAAATCGTGACACTATAGATAATTGTTAAACGATCAATTGAATGACATTTGTCACTGTGCGTCAACTTTCTTTACTATGAGAAGGCGTTTGATAGCGTGAATAGGAGAACCTTATGGAAAATTCTTCGACATCTTCGTGTACCTGAGAAAATCCCCAACATCATCCGGGATTCATACGACCGATTACACTACAAAGTCGGGCATGGAGGACAGCTGACAGATGCATTCCAAACGAAGACTGGTGTCAGACAAGACTGCTTACTCTCACCCTTTCTCTTTCTTTTAATGGTTGATTGGATTTCGGAGACCACTAAATCTCAGGGAAAGCGAGAAATACAATAGGCAGCTTGCATGCAGCTAGATGACTTCACAGGTGACTTAGCTCTTCTACTCCATACACACCAATAAATAAAGGTCAAGACACGCAGTAGAGATAAAACAGCTTCTGCAGTGGTGGGCCTCAACATACACAAAAGAGAAAGCAAAATCATGAAATACAACACGGAGAACACCAACCCAATCACATTTGATGGAGAAACTCTGGAAGAGGTGGACAGTCTCATGTACCTGGGTAGCATCATTGATGAACAAGGAGGACCAGACACAAACGTAAAGGCAAAGAACGGCAAAGCAAGGGCCGCATTCCTACAGTGGAAGAACATATGCAACCCAAAAACTGTAAACAAATATAAAAATCACAATCTTCAATACGAACGTCAAGACAGTTCCGATGTACGGAACTGAAACTTGGAGAACTAATACAACCATTTTCAAAAATGTACAGGTTTTTATAAACAACTGTCTATGCAAGATACTCAGTGTATGTTGATCGGATACCATCAACAACACCCTACTGTGGGAGAGAGCAAACCATCTTCCAGATGAAGAGTACATTAGGAAAAGACACCGGAGATGGATAGAACACACATTAAGGAAATCACCAGATTGCATCACGAAGCAAGAGCTAACTTGAAATCCTGAAGATAAAAACAGAGGAGGAGGGGGAATCGGAAACCGTAAATTTCCGTTGTGACAAAAATGTATGTATACGTCATCTGCTTATTTACCATGAAAATATACATTGAAAACAGAGTGTAATAAAGCAAAAAAGCATCAAAGAGACGCTCTATTTTGGCTCTAAGTTTTGCAAAATAGTGAATACTCAATACCGATCTAATATGCCGATCCACAAATTAGTTTCCATGATTACATTACGAACAGATATCAAATTAAACTGTAGAGTCATGGTTCAGTAGCTTAACTTCTAGGCTATTAACCCGGTGTTACACAGGTTCAATCTTCTCTTCCTTAACTTCAATTTGGACAACCATATAGAAAAGCCAACTCGCATACAGAAGTAGAAACAAGAACTTATAATTGGCTACTTCAGTTACAGTTGGTGATGAAAAAAATAACTTCACTACCAAATTTGAAATTTTACATATAGTTATGAATCAATAATTTATTCATTTAACATTCAATGTTCATTAGTAGGTAAGTACGAACTTCTGACTTTAGCGGACAAGGAATGTGTATATCTTCGCACATAATACACAATATTATGTAAAACAATATCCAACTACACTGTTCATTAGTTACATTTAAAATTTATTTAAATGGGAAGATATTACAATTACAAGCGATAATACACACAATATTAACTAACCTGAAAAAGACATATTAATGGAACGAAGATATAATTCTTTTAAACTATAGTTTCTGATTAAACCTTCACACAATATTTCAACACCTTTATCGCCAATATTTACATTGTTACTTAAATCTAAGCTAATTAAACCGCCAACAAAAGAGATTAGTGATTTTGGTGTTTGCATTAATACAATAGCCAATGATTGCATACCATCTATGCTTAAATTATTGTCTACAAGATAAAGACGTTCTAAGCTGCAAATTTTCATTGGTATTGATTGTGTACAACAGCGATTAGAATTTGAATCGGAGCTTTTTTCTGTTGATGGTGATGATGACATAGTGGTTAGTTTAAGAATTTCTTGATCATTCAACGTAGAGAAACGCTCACGTAAACGATTTCGATAAGATTGAAGCAGTCCAGTACACAATATACCTAAACCATCATCCTATGAACATTAAAATAATAAACATTAGGAAACTAATGATTATTATTAAATTTTTATGTAAATAAAGTAATAAATTTAATTTATAAATTAAACGAATAATGACATTTCTAAAAAGAGGAATTTATTTCTAATCAACAATGTAATTAAAATGTCAGAACTAGAAAAATAATTGTCTGTTATTGAGGAACATTTTTTCGACATATTAGAGATTACTTTATAGCATGTCACAGTAGAACTTCAACGTTGAATTATTCAGTCCTCTATAGAGTTTATAAGAATAAGCACAATCTACCGACAGATGGGAGCGTAAATCTTTTTTTCTTTTTTATAAAAAAATCGTTAACTATACACTATAGAAACCTAGATCGGTGTGTACAGAAACACTTTATACAATTGGTTTTGTTACTATGACTCCGATTTTTGATTTTTTTTTATATTCTTGAATTTTTTTGGACGGTTCCGTCTTTTTGTTCTTTTTCACAAAGAATCTTATCCCGTGTAATTTATTTCATATGAACATTTACAATTCATTCATTCAATTAGTATTATTACTTTACTATCTTTACCATATTGTTTACCTTTCATATAAGATATCCAATCCTATTTAACAATAATCTTACGGAACCTAACCATAAAGATCTCAGCGCCTAATATAGTACACAGTAACAGTCCTATATCTTCATTAAGATACCTTTGGTCTTTTTACAATCTACTAGATTAACCAGTAAAGTTTTCCAAGATAAAGCCAAGTGTATATGTAAGATGTGTTTCAGAAACCTATTTTGACGAAAGCATACACCTTCATATCTAATTAGAGTTTCACGATTAAGCTCTGCAGTAAACACTTAGTGGTTTTCTCATACACTAGTAACCCATAGAAGACGTTTCAGGTTAAGTATTAACATCCCATCTTATGTCTTCAAAGGTCATAATTTACAGTCATAAAGTAATACAAAGTAGATTGTGAAATAATACCGCGCCGGAATTATCCGGGTTTTTTTAATTGTCATCACAGGCTTTCATGAGACGCTATATTTAGCGAGAAAAAGTATATCGTTTTAATCCTTAAGAATATTAGAGCTTTACATATAGAAGATGGACTCTTTAAATAGAATTCAGATACGACAGTGAAAGCTGATTATGAGTTATTCAGTAGTATACGAGCAATCTACATATCAGTGATTCCAGTCTAAACACTGTCTAAATTACTATACAGTATTACTCATTATTCACTAAAATAAATCATAAAATAATGTTTGATAGATTTGGAGGCTAAGCTGAAAGGCTTACGTGTGGGTAGATTCGCAAATTTGAAGCAAAAATTCAAGTATACATCACATGTTTTCATATTGTTCCTCTGAGTCAAATGATTGAATATTTGAGCTTTTGGTATTTATTTACATTTAAAAAATATAGACAAAAAACTCAAACAAAAGAAACTCGATAATATGTACCCATTTAAGATACCTATACTTTGCAATACAACGATTTTACAAACAAGACCAATAAGATACGGTATGATAATTTCGAAGACACAACTAAAGGTTAAAACCTCTATTGTAGTATCGTCTAATTCACACTCAACATCCATTAATATTTACTTTTAACAAATTTTCTGAATATTTTATTGTTCTTGTCAATTTTTCTCCCATTAATCTATCTCAAAATGTAGCGAATTGAAATGATTTACCATTGTGTCAGATGAAACAACAGATACCAAAAATTATCAATCAACATAAAACCCTCGAACTAACCAGTTAATATTCCCCCTTTTGAATGTATAAACAAAACAACAAGAGTACGGTCTTTTGGTACACTAAAAGAACAACTTACACCAATATTATTATGAGACAAATCCAACTCCAATAAATAACCAATCCCTCCAACTGGAAGAAAATCACACGATGATAACGACAATGAGTTTGATTTTTTCAGTTGTGTACATTTCGTATGTGAACTATTGTTTACAAGGGCATCTGATGAGCTAATTTCATTATTATTATTATTATTATTATTATTATTATTATTATTATTATGACCTTCAAATTTAACAGTTTCAGGTCCCGAAATTCTTGGAATAAATAACTGATGACGAATTAGTGGTAGTATTGCTTCAACATCTGAAGAAGTCAATTTATTATTTATTAAACCTAATTTTAATTCCCAAATAGAAGGTTTAGTATCATTAATAGTGGTAGTGTTAGTATTAATAGTGTTTGTAGTACTTGTATTTGATAAATTTAATGCTGAAGTAGTATAAGAGTGTCTACGATGTCTCCAACCACGAAATTTATGTCCTCTACTTGAATTACATGGTCTGTCTCGTGTTGGTGGATATAAACTTGTTGAACTCAAAAGGATGTACAACCATTGCATAAGTCCATATAATGCTTGACCGGTTAAATTACAATCAATAAAATGTAAACGTTCCAAGCATAGACCATAGAAACTTAGACCATGAAAATTTTCTAAGCGTAATGGAGTATGACTCAATGTGAATCGACGTAGAGCAGATGACTATGAATAAAAATTAATATAAAACAAAGAAATGAACTTGGTACCCTCATAAATTTTTAAAAATTATACTTATAAATATATCTGCGGGTAATTTAGAATACAAGTTAGAAAAACAATTAAAATACTGATTGAAAACAATATTACGAATTTCAATATACATAGTTCCCTTTATCATCGTGAAGAGTTTAAGAACAAAGATTTGAGCAGAATAACATGAATTCAATGTATTTCGTTGAGTTCTCGTCAGTTGCTTAAAACCTGTATTATCTACAAATCATAATTACAAAATGAGGTCAAATTACTTAAATGACGGAGTTTATTTAGAGGTTGATAGGATCAAATATCAGTATAGTATAGCAAGGGAGTCAATAAATATCATAGACTAAATAAAATATTGTAAATGTTTACCCAGTGTAAAAGAACATTCTACAACATTGATAGTAACGAAAGTCAAAAGTTTTAGAAACAAGTAGGTACGTAATGAATGAACGCTGACAATAAGTAAGAATATAAGTAATTGGAACCTATTTTGTAATTACTATTTTCAAATAATACATGTTGTAAGCAACTAACGAAAACCAAACGAAATAAAATGAATTAAAGTTATTCTGCTCAAATTTTTGTTCTTGCTGTCCCAAAGATAATACGAACTGTAAGGTGGTTGGAGGTAATGAAGATAAAATATAATGCACACGATGTTGGATTACCTATACTAGTGACCATATTGGAATTTGATTAGGACTAAATCATTAGGACAAATATGAAATCGGTCATTACAACTCAGTAACTAACCAATTAGAATAAGAACTTGACCAATATCTCACCAACAAAGATAATTCAGAATTGAAACTATTCACAAAATGTCGATTGAAGTAAGAAAAATAACACAATGATACTAAACAGTGTCAAGTTTAATATGGTGAGAAATATTAATTTTCCTCATTTGCAGTGAAACAACGTCAGGAAACGAAGTGATATGATCTACGATTGTGGGGCGTCTGAATGTGTGTCTGTGTTCTAGAACCTGATGTATTGTCAATATCTGGTATATACAACCACGTCCAGGTCGAAAACCAGCCTGATTTTCTCTAATTTGTTCTTCACGAGCTTTAGTTAGGCATCGAAGTATTATTGAAGCTAATATTTTAGACACATTAATTGGTCAAACTGATTCCTCTGTGATTGTCACAAGAGGACTTTTGTTCTTTCTTATAGACTGGCACAATCAGTGATTGAGACCAGTCAGATGGGATTACGTCCAGTTCCCAAATTCTACCTAAGACCTCAGTTAATCTCACTGCTAATACTGAACCATCATCCTTAAAAATCTCAGGAGTAAACCTGTCAGGGCCTGCTGCTCTCTCTCGATTCAGATTTCCTATGGCTTTTTCAACTTCGTAAAGAGACGAAGGATCTACATTAACTTGCCATTCAGGTTGACTGGAGATCGTGGGAGACCGAAGTGTGGCTGAAGGCCAGTTGAATTAATCCCTAAAGTGCTCTGCCAGTCATTTTGTGGGAAGTTTTTATCGTGTTGGATCCGTTCTTTAAAGGGCCTTACCGCCGGAGACGGAAATCCGTGAGGTAAGGTGAGGTGTGACAAGTGTGAAAACGACGTACACTTAACCTGTAAAACATATTTACTAATGTTTAATGATATATTCAACACTGTGTTGCTTTACCTGTATGTGTATGTATTTCATTTAACGTTTTCTTTATTGTCGAGATGCGATTCAACTAGAGAACGATGTATTGAGGTGGTTATGTATTGGTAAAATATTTTAATGATATGGGGATAACTAACAAACTATATTAAATTATACACTGTAAATTAAAAAGTTATTAATTAAAGAAATATCATTTAATTTGTCATGCTGTGCAAGAATAGAACACTTAAGCGTAAAATTATAGTAAAATTCCACGAAAGCTAATTAGATGAAAATGAACAAGTTAATCATCATCAATTTTTAATCTGTTAAAAAATATAATTCAGTCCACTGAACACTCATTTTGATATAAAACTGTAGTGAAGATACTCTCAAGCTTTCACTCGGTTACCATTTGGTTGTACTACAAACAATAAATAATGTAGAAAAATGAAATCACAATGAACGAATTAAAGAGAAAAATTAATCTTTTCACACAGTTAATGGGACACGTACCTTTCGCATGAAATTAACACAACGACTCCAAGCTTGACTAGGAAGAGTTTTGTTTAAATTTAAACTTATACTTAGATCTGTACAACTTTCATAATGCAGTAACATATCAAACAGTGACGAAGCAGACTAGAATGAAAATAATAGATGAAAAAAATAAATAGGACAATAAAAAATATAAACAAGTAAAGATAAAGAGAATTCAGCGAAGAAAATTTTCTCTTGGACGAAATCATTTGCTTAGGCTGTACGTTCGTATTTGCAGTTGTTTAGTAGTAAATATATTGCGGTGCGTGCTACTTATATTGATATAAGTAATATATGACGTTACTCGTGAATAGAATGTCTGGCAGCAGAGAGACAAGAGGATCGAACAGTAAAGAAAGGAAACAGGATGCAATTTGTATGAAAATGCAAGAACAATGAAGTCTGAGTCGTTTTGGGACAATTGATGGACATTTTGCAAATTAAGCATCTACTTTATGATTGTTAGATTTTATTAACAAGTCCTGTAATTTCGTGTTAAATGCATTCGATTGTGACGCAGTTAGGTGCTTTCCTCGATGTGTGTCCTACTCACTTCCAGCGCTTCTTCCTGATTTCTTCCTCCATTGTAATGTGGTTTGTTCTCTCCCACAGTAGGTGGTTGATGATAATGTCTGGCCAACTGATCCGAAGTATTTTGCATAGACAACTGTTAATAAACATTTGTATCTTTTAGATGATAAATTTCATAGTTCTCCAAGTTTCCGCCCCATACAGTAGAACTGTCGTGACATTTGTATTGAAAATTCTGACTTTGGCGTTGGTTGAAAGTTGTTTTGTAAACCAACGCCAAAGTCAGAATTTATATTCACCATACAACTATAAATACGAACGTACATCTTAAATAAATGACTTCAGACACTGACAGATGCGCACAACCTATAGAACACGCACGAATATTACTATACACAGGTTGAAACAAGTTATAGAAATAATTTAAATCAAAGAGGCATAGAAAAAAACATATATATAAAATAAATGGTAATATCCTCTTTTATGATTTTAAATCAGTGTTTACCAATAATTTTGTCGAAGATTAATTGGATGATTTTCTAGCAGTCCAGAGTATGCTGTGTTCATCCAAGGATAATTAGGTCATTTTTAAGAACAATTATGTGGACGATAAACATGGATTTACCAGTCGTAAATCACAAGCCCTTAAGGAACTTAGTTACATGATACAACGTTTTTTAGGAATAAAACGTTTATTAACTGATAATTTGACTGGTAAAAAATGAGATTTTATATTGGTAAACGGTGATATATTGAAAAGGCAGCAATTCGCTTTTAACAAGTCACGAGTTCGAACCCCACTTTAACTAATTCCACTTGGACATATCGATCATGTCATCATATAAACAATAAGACTTAGTCTGAGTTAATAAACCTAGGCTTAATAAATAGGTTACATTATTTCTTCTTAACAAGTAAATTATTCGGTTTAGAAAACTTTATCTGTAGGTGACTGAATCCTACAATAGTTAGAACAGTACATCATTTATCATTAAATAACCACTACGCATATTGCTGAGATGCGTCCTAATAAGTATTGTGATACTGAAGAATTTCCAGAACTGTTCATGAATCGTTCACAGACTCATAGTATCGACCAGGAACGGCTATAAGATTAATTCTATAATTATTATATTATATATATTTACAACACCTTGTGTTTTCAATCTCATTACTCTGCCATGATGATACACATCTGATTTTACTGTTATAAGCACTTGGACTTTACGATAATTTTGATTTTTAAGTATTATGGGCTGTAAGCAGCTGATGACAACCTAACGAAATAAAATGAACTCATGTTATTCTGCTCAATTCTTTGTTCTCGCTCTCTTTCATTCTATGATAGACGGAATTAAAAAAGTTACTTATAGCTCGGTTAGAGAAGGAAACTAAATGAAAAAAACTGAGCTAAAAACAGCAAGAAAAATCTTGTCAACAAATATTCAACAAGGAAACAAGCTGCGAAATCGAATCATTTTCACCATGAGTTAGTACCTATCCTGGTATATTATAATGAACATTTCGAAGTTTCCGAAGAGAGAAATTATAAAATTCGAGGGCAACTGCAAAGTGCTGGAATTTTATGAGGAGTTTCGAAGAGTGTGTCGCTAACGAGAGTATCGTATTTGGAAAATTAAATTACGTTACTCAGTGTTGTGACGAAGCTAAGGCAGTCATAATACACTGGGCCCTATTAGAGTCGGAAGTTGGCTGCTGTAAAGCCTTCGAAACACTAGCCGAAGAATTTGATCTGAAACACATCTTAGCTCAGACGCTTATTGATAAGTTAATACACTTTCCCAATACTGGGGATACGTTTCCCGACACCTTGAAGAGGTTATCTCGACAGATGTTGCTTTGCAAGTTAACTCAAAATCAGATGAACTACACTTCAAATTTGAATTCGTTGAGGACCACAAAAGTCCCAATCTCTGACTGTAAAAGGGCTAGTTTAACCTAATGCATATTCATAGGAATCTGTTTCGTTAACCATTATTTCGATATTTTGATAAAACGTATTGCACGCACACATATACATTCTCCAACATATTTTTTATTTTACATGTTTTAATTGGCAAAACACTAACATCTTTTATTAATACATCACATCACTCTATTTCTCTACTAATCAATAGATTGATGATTTAAATGGTACTGTGTTTATGAATTATTGTATATACTGAATAGAGCATTACACAAAATTCTTAAGAAAACCAGCTTTAGCATGTAATATATATCTATATATATTAATATAACTAGCTAACGATATGAAGTCACCTGTTCGTCTAAAAATGTATTTTCTAGATCAATTACTCTGAAATGTGCACGCTGAAATATTGCCTCCATTGATTCAATATGAAATCGATTCAATCGAATACCTAGAATAGAAGCAAAACAAAACTACAATTCAATTAAATAGATAAATAGAATATTTCGATTAATGGGAACAAATACCCTTTTCAAATTGTTCTTTAATACATTTTTACAATTTTATACTCTAACATATCTTCCTGTTCTTTGGAAAGATGCGGAGGAAAGTGTGCCAGTATAACAGTATGATCAGCGACTGATATGTGTGCTGTAAGAGAAGTGTTAGTTTTCGATTGATTCTCTTCCGAAATGAATGATGGTAATATAATCTACTGAGTTTCAATATTATCTAAAAGAATGAACTTAGGCTGAATCTATATTTGTTCAAGTGAATGCACTTTACAACACCAAAGGGAAAGCAAATTAACAAAGCTGATAACAAAAATGTCAAAATGATATAATCAGTGGAAGTGGCACTATTGCTTGCAGCCACTTTAATTCAACATAAAAAACTTATTTATCTAACGAAAACAAATTAGATGGTCAAAGGTGACCAGTAGATATCATTTTTATAACTTCATTACAGTAGTTCTTTTATTACATTTGACAATTATTTCTTGGTTGCAAGAAAAATATCACATCATACTATCACACAATTACGTATGCAATATAACTTGGGTGTAATCCATATTACAGATGTCTGCGTTAATATAATGTATATGAAGTGTATCTACATTAGCAGCACATAAATACATTCTGATTCGTGCAAAAAATCTTAATGGTAAGCCTTACTTATTTCTTCATCAATGTTGAGTGTTTAAAAAAAGAAAACGTTTTGCAGCTACCTATCAATATATGTATAGATAAACATGTACACTTTTTTGAGATCAGTGTGATACATCAGGAGATACACATAGAAAAAAAGAATTCTGGAACTAATCAAATATAAAATTGGTTTATGGTTCATGTATGGAGACAATTCAAAAGAAAAAGTTACGAAAATATGATAATGGAATAGTCTGAGCAAAGAACTAATGGATAACACTGATGACATAATCACAAATCAATTAAGGGTCAAATAATACGTAGTTTAGTAGCGAGAATATAATTTCAAAAGAACAGAAAGTGAAGAGCATGTATACATTGATCTAGACAAAGCACAGCATTATTGAAAGTGCTTATTGATTAATGGAATACTGGAATGCAAGACAATAAGAAAAGAAATGTGATTCAGTTAGAAAAAATACGATATGTACGTTAACAGAGATTGCCAATCTCTAGTGGATAACGTGGAAGTTACATGCTACGAAGAGAAAGTTATGGTCTGTCAAAATATGTTTCGTTCGCTAAAGATAAAGTGCAGAGAAAGACAAAAATATGGTAATAATCGTGAAGTATATTTTAGTGACCGTTTATCTTGACGCCAATTAGATCGTACGAATAATCCGTATCGAAATATATATCTCGGCTACCCTTGTATATGATCATCGACTTAAATTGCGTTAGTGAATAACGGAATAAAATAAGTCAAATACGAGAATGGATTTTGAATACGTATATTTCATACAGTCATTGATCCAGACAGACGATCAGAGAAACGATGCGAAACGAAATAACGCGCCATGGAGAAGGCGAGTGAGCCAACTCGGTTTAATCAAGCGTGACTCGATATTTGTAGTCAAACAAAAATAAGTTACAGACACATAATGAATAGGGTAAGTAATTAACATATATGTGATCATATAAAAACGGTCAGAGTTAATAAGCGAATAATTGAGAGAGTCGAAATGTGGCTTGAGATAAATGAATAGACTGATCTGTCAAGAGGCTAGAATAACCTATGTGGGCTTGACATAGTACGAGCGACTATAATACATTAAATAGAGTTCCAACAATTACATTGAATGACGTGAAATAAGAATATTGAGAGGAAACTAGAAAAAAATAACGTAAATGACGAAAATATAAAAATACTAAATGGAGAAAAGGAAGAGATGACAGATTTCATTTGTCTTGGATGTATGCCATTGTTCGAAGAATAACAGAAAAGTACAAAAGACTCGCCATCGGTTTCTATTATGACTTCCGTCGAACAATAGTTCAAGCCACTGAATAGCAATATTGTTAAAACTGTATTTAGGAAGTTTCTATATGCCAACGTAACCTAACAAAATTATATCACCAACCATCCTCTTGTGACATAAACTAATTGTATTTTTTTATCTTCATTCTATTACGCCACATCAGCAAGCTATTCTAATAAACCTTGAATATCTCATTACTAAACATCTATTCGTTTATTCATTTTCGCATTTGCTCGCATGTATTTTTGCTCGTTATTCCTTTTCTGTACTAGTATTAAACGTACTAAACTCAACTAGTCTACTTGTATGTGAAATTCAATATTATTACAATGGAGGAAACCTAAAGGAGGTTGGAGTACATGACGTCATAAATTAACGATCTGAGATGTGTTTGAAAAACCATACACATCGAGATTGGGTCGGGCTTAATCTTGATAATAATAACATACTCATACTCATTTATTTACCTCTGTTGACTTTCCGTAACTATATTTGTTTTGAAAAGTAACCATCTTGATTAGATGCATTCTTGTATTAGGCTTTACATGTTTCCAATTAATGAATCAATTATTTCGTTAGCCCGTTAAATATAAGAATTAAATCAAATGATCCCCACCTTCAGTCTAATCTTGTGTACCTATGTACCTAATCAACTCGGAAACTATATACATACACCAATAGAGATATAAAACTGGTCACCAATCTGATGAAAAGAACTGCAAGTGACCTTTATTTCCACAAACTAATGAGACACACCTAAACGGATAACGTGAATTATGTGTGTATACAGCGATATGCATAACGGTATACATATTACTTTCAAATAGAATAAATAAACAATTATAAATATAAAAACGTACCTCTTAGGCTTAGACGACTGTAACGTTCATTACAAATCGATAAATCGATTCCCTATGAAACAATAAAACAATTACTGTAACAGAAATTATTTATATATATGAAAAGCCAATCCCTATGCGTTTGCATATCTTATTACATAATGGATTGGCCTGTTCACACTGTGTATAATTGATTTGCGCGGTCACTGATTGCATATATATATATATATATATATATATATATATATATATATATATATATATATATATATATAAACCAAAACTTCTAGCTACAATCTAAGACGCTTTTATTGAAAACGCTGGATAGCCAATCCGCATTTCATTGTAAAGTGGTTCGACGAGAAGTTTCCTCTTTATATTCGTCTTCATCACTTAGAATTCCAAAGGTATGTACAGTCGAGAGATTACCTATGTTATGTAAGACGTTACCAATGATATCTCAGATGGCATCGTGGTCTCACACTAGCGCAACGTGACCCTCCCATGAGTTAGCAACGAAGACGTCAAAACACCGATGGGGTGTAATTTGCCTGAGGTGCATGAAATAAAAGCGAAGAGAGTGGGAAAATCTGACGAGCCATACGCTATAAAAACTCCTTTAGGGTGGACGTTGTTTGGACCTTACAATGAGACCACGAGATAAATAGGTATCATAAATTATCTATCGTCTAAAGATGAACTAGAAGCAAGATTAGACCAGTTATATAAGATGGGCTTTGAAGAAGACCCAAATTACCGTGTGCTCATGTCGGTTGAAGATTGTAAAGCCTTGGATGCTATGTTCAAATCTATACAGTTAGTGAACGGGCATTACCAAATAGCTTTACCCTGGCGTCACCAACAAAGCCTACCTAATAATAGAAAACTAGCAATAAGTAGATTGAATTGCTTGAGAAAACGGTTCATCCGTGGCTAGAGGTTGCATAAAGAATATTTTAATGTGATGGCACAGTATGTTGAACGGGGTTACGCCGAGAATACTATAGAGAACTCCATTAGGTGTCGGGTTTGGTATTTACTGCACCACTCTGTCTTCCGTTCGAAAAAACCTAATAAGCTAAGAATCGTATTCAACTATGCAGCACAATACACCGAGACGTCCCGGAATAAAAACGTGTATTCTGGTTCAGACTTAGTTAACAATCTGGAAGGTGTTTTCATCAGATTTCGGTGTGACCAGTAGGTCTCACGGCAGATATTGAAGCTATGTTTCATCAAGTGATTGTCCCGTTATAGGATCGCGATGCCCTTAGATCTTTGTGGTGGCTACAGGGTGACATAAGAAATGAACCAGAAACCTATAGGATGAAAGTACATTTGTTTGGTGAGACCTCTTCACCAAGTTGTCCTTGTTCTAACTATAACCTTCACACAGACTATGGGATCGCCAGTATCGCGTTTACAGTTCTTGTAGTATATCTATAGGACAAATCCTCAAAAGCTCTGACCAGTATTACGCATCTTATCGAAATGAATAAAAATTATGAATCATACTAATATAACAGGGTAATAATATCTTTCAATTGGTAGGTCACATGCAGCAGGGATACTTTGCAGACACATCAAACCAGATTAACGTGGTGGGAGCTTAAGCAACGATTTGATTGGTTCGTTATGTATATAGCTAAGTCTGCTTGTATATAAACCAGGCATGCCTTAAATACTTGATTCATTCAGTGGAGATTAAGTCTATATTCTGGACAGGCGAGGTTATGCGAGACGTTATTATTTTGAGGACCAATAAGGATTCAGAGTTGACTCAGGGTTGCTAGTGTTGGTTGACGTGTAATTGGTTTGGCGCAGGAACTAGGTCATATAAGCCAGTGTTCTAATTGGAGATTTTGTCACGTGATAAGTGGTAGATGCATGTCATAACAATTATATACCCAAATTAATAATCCAAAAAATATCCAGGTTTAATGCAAATTACATCAGTTTTCTGGAGATTTGCATTTTCGGGCTCGTGAGCACCTCCCGGTATGGTTAAGCAAAGGTATAGTTGAAACTACTAACAACTCGATTTTAGCTAATTTAGTACAGCCAACATGGAGCAATCCTTCACAATAATATACCGTGTTAACAGCAATCTATCTAAATCCGTCAGACTAGGAATCCTTCAGACGGCTGAAGCAATAGCTATTTGGATCAAAAAGCCGGAGCTTTGCGTCTAGAAGAAATATGTTCAACTGCTCGTGTTGCCTTGGTCAACTTCTGGGTTAATTAGTTGTGATATGGTGACGTAGTTTGGTCAGTAGTCATTTTAATAGCTTAAACTTATATTATCCTTACTTTATATTATTATTATTTTAACATCTGCCAACGTGTATAAGAAACCTACTCAGCATTCGCTCTTATTTATCGATTCGTATCCAATCCATATTATCCTACATATTACGTGATTTCTGATTAGTAATTACATTATTATCTCTAGCACTCCATGTTAATCACATTTATTTTGATCATTTATCTCACAACTTAACACTTTATATTAGTCATCCCAACATTAACGATTTTATTTCATTTTATATTAAAAATGATCCTAAATACACATGCTATAATTCTAAATAATATACTTTGCCTTGAATCAGTTTCTGCTAGTATAATGTTTAAACTAATATCTTTAACAAGTTCGGTATAGCATAAAATTATAGGCAGAACACCATTCATGAATAACCACAGAAAAAAACAAGTCGATTTCACTCTAATTTTATACTAAATTAACCCCAAATGCTCTGGTACGATAGAGGATGGAGAGAGTCCGCTCTCCCTCTCACATGGCAACGCGTATATAGCCACTGTCACGGAAGTCCCACTCACTGCTATCTCGCGAAATGTGTTGTTTACGAAATTTGGAGGGCGAAAAGCGAATGTGGGCGCTTTAACCGGACTGATGGATATGGAGGATCCATCTAGGGGAGTTAGAAAACCCTGACTACAAACCAATGATGGACATAGTTTCCAGGGTTTTGAGGGAACAAACAGCGCATAAACCTGTTTTTGGTCACCGGCTACCATGGGACTGCATCTCCCAACGTTGCTCCACTCCTGGTGAACTATACCTCTGGGTCAAAGGCTCAGGAAGTGGTCTCCTAAGAAAACCATCTGCCCCAGTTTTGGCGCCCGGACAGTATCCCATCCCTCACACAAATCGAATGACGAGGTGTGGTGCATATACATTTGATGCCGTCTTGTACCAATGTTTATGTGTTTAAATAAATAATAAAATTACACTAAATAATCAAAGAGCCCACCTTTATTTGTTCTAACAAAAAATTAATGGGAGTTATTCTATGCTCAAAACAAGAAGAAAAGTACGCCGCCTGAAGTTCTTCACTTGAACAATTATCTGGAACTGAAGGAACAAAATGAAAATACTAGTTACGTTAAAACAATAATGCTTGTTACAGGAAATAAAGGGAAAGGACAAAACTAAGTTAAGTAAACACTAAAAATATAAAATCTAGCAAACCAAATGATTGAGCAATTTAAGACATATCACACTCAATTTAAAGATTGTATTTACGCTATAGTAACTACTGGCCAGAAAGGTGCATAAGTGAGTATCAACCCAGGCTGTCAAATGTCCCACTAATATTAGGTTAATCTTTTTCACTACCACTTAAACTAAAGCCACTCTGGTATTCGTCTTGATAATTCCATCCCTTTATGCAAATATGGTACAGAAACTTCGACCGATGCACAAATCTCCCAGGTTCTATGTTCTTTATGACTAACCAACTATTGAGACAACGAAAAGACCAAGTAAACCAAATTAATAATGTTAATGGTAGTTGTAAATGAAGATACAGAACATAGTTTGAGAAGAACTAATAAAATCGGTACAAAATAATGGCATAGAAATTTAGAAAAGGTCTGCACTTCTTTTTCAAGTTAACATGAAAGACTAATTCGGATTTAAGAAAATTTAAATCACCCAAAGCATGTACGAGATGCTGAATGCAGTAGTCCACTTTTGGGATGAAATATATGATCACAGGATTTTATGTCAGATCGCGAATCTTTTCGAAGTATAAGTTGTGTTTAATGTAACCACCTATGGAGATATTTATAAGGTGTAGTCTAAAGCTAGAGAAACAAATTGGATTTGCACATCTGAATGGCGGCAAATTAACAAATTGAAATAAAGCTACAAACAGTCCCAACATCCAAAAAGAAAAAGAACTAAATAACTAGAATGCAATAACAGCAGTGGATGTAAGTACATCAGTATACTAAGAAATATTCAACTTATGTGATCTAGTTAGACTTTGGGATCAACTAAATTGGATTAGCTGTTGAGCTACCTTTTTATGCAATATATCTTGGACACGGCTGAGGGTAGATATACATGTTTATGAATCCTATAAAAAGGAATAATTGTACTATTTGCAAAGTAAAATAAAGTCTTCTATCTTTTATGTCACTCATCTTTAAATTAATTAAATATATCTGGAGCATTTATACGGTTTTTCCGCAATATCTAATCAATCCAAATGTTTGCTGTGGTCGCCCCATAAATCCAAGATACAAAATCAGAATGAACGTTTTTGACCATTTCCGTGTCAAAAACTATATGTGCATTTGATGGAAAAAGAGTAGCATTCACATTAGCTTTCACTTTTAATCGGGATGAAAATAGCAATTTTACAAACAATACCAAAACTATAGAATGTTACTTCAATATTATATTGTTATCTATTTGTAACGAATCACCACTGCTTTCTAAATTATTCGATACAAAGCATTTTCACACAAATAGAAAGTAAAAGCTAGTTTGTGAAAAATAATCAAAATTGTTTAATTACTTAGTCGGAATGGTTCTAAATAATCTGATATAAGTTTGTCATCTTCAGGAAAACGAACTCTGCGTATCGATTTGAAAGGTGCGTCAGAATTTGATCTAGTTAACTTTGCTTCTGAATGGCCACAATGGATAGCTGACACAAAGTCGATATTGTTGGTCATTCGGTTTTAGCCCTTCGAAAATATTAGTTATGAAAACAGAATACAATAAACAAAAAGCGAATCAAAATGACCATAAAAATACTTGAATTTTTTAAGCATGCTAAATAGATCTCATAGTAGAAGATAAAATTCCGAAAATTAAAGTGAAGGATGTGATATTATTTTAATTCAAAGCGAAAAAATTCGTTTCTTGAACTATTTCTAGTATGAACAGAGGACTGACTTAAGGCGACGACGACAAATCATCTACCGAACATGTATGAGATATATTACGAGTGAAAAGCACTAGACTTTCAACCACTAGGTTACAAGTTGACATCCCGCCACACATACTTAAGACTGGACAACTGGATAGTATCACTAGCTTTCACAAAAAAAGCAACTCAAGAGAGTAAATGATCTTGAACTCGGCTCTATCAACACTAAATCTATTGAAAAGTGAAGCATCTGCAAATCGTATGAAAACGTACACATTTTCGTTGAACTGAGGAATTACTATATATCAAAAGCACCAAAAACTGTTAGACATTTACTTATTTGAACACATAGATACTGGTACAAGGGGGCACCAGATACATAAGCACCACACAAACATCATTTGATTTGTGTGAGGGCTGGGATACTGCCCAGGTGACCAGACCAAAGCAGGTGGTTCTATTAGGGAGCCACATCCGGAGCCTTCGACATAAAGGTCTGATCTACAAGGCAGTGGAGCAACGTCACGAGATGTAGTCCCATGGTAGCCGGTGACCAATAATTGTTTCACACGCCATTTGTCCCTTCATGATACTGGAGCCCATGTGCACCATTGAATTGGAATCAGGGTTTTCCAACTCTCCTAGGTGGACTCTCCGTGTCCACTAATCTGGTTAAAGCGTCAGACATTCACTTTTCGTCCTCTCAATGCCGTAAACAACACCCCCACTGCGAGAAGACAGTGAGTAGGACTTGCTTGGCATTGGCTGTATACTCGTGGCCATGTGAGAGCATTTCGAGAGGGAGAGCAGTATCTCCCCACTCTCGGTCGTACCAGGGCATTTGGGGGCCTGTTAGACAACTTATTGTGGATTTGTAAAGCGTAGTGCTTCGTGAACATGAGTGGGAACTCGTTGTCTTTGGTATTGTGATGACACGATTGTTTAATTGTCCATCAGATGATTGGAAAATATATCCTCTTGTTTAACTGATTGTAAAGTGGATACATTTTACCCATCCATTGATTGCTTTTAAGTCTATGTGATATATTTTTATTTATTGAGCAGTTTGAGTTCTAAATGTTTACAAAGTGATGGAACGTTGAAGGCAACGACATTAAAACTAGTAATGAGTTCCACAGTAAAAATGAATATAATCGGCCAGATCCTTCATCATTTAGTTAATTAATTTATAAAAAGCATTTTGGCACATTAGCGAACAGAATAAATTGTACCACACATTAAGTAACAGCAAGCAAAAAATTGAGGCAAGTATAGTGCAGGAAAGCAAAATTTCTTCCAGTTAATGGAGTTCATCTTTTTAACTGGTATTTATAAAACTAAAACAAGGTCACCACTAGATCCTAATTTAGTCCATATCTAATAGTCTTGAGCCAGTGTGCCCAACGACCTTTAGAACCCCAAGTGGAAAGTCACTAAGGACCAACAGATGCTAATCATATACAACTATGTTTCATACTACGGTCACAAAGTGACCATCATTGGGTCTTTTTTCTACCCAATCCCAGCCTCGGCAAACAGTGTGAGATGTGTAAACCACTGCGATGGTATTTATAAACAAAACCAAGTCCCCAAAATCAATGCTTCAAGATGGTGATATCAAGTGAATTATTATCACGGAGACCAAACACATAATACAGGACCTCAGTCACAATTGATTGATCACTGGGTGGTGATCAATGTCATGCTTATCTAGTCCTTATTAGTGCAGACCGAATGCTATCGATCATGTTGCAATGTGGCCACCAGTCTAGGTGACTCGACACTGCGGGCACTATGTATTGGTAACGTCTCTGACTGTAAAGCTGGGTGACACGAGATCGAATCCGCCAGGGAGCACCAGTTCCCTCAAGATTACAGGTACACCTTGCTGACGAGTGCCAAGTAGCACGAAACCCGGGTCCAGGGTTTCCTGTTGACTACCTCCAACCACCATCTAAATCTCACAGGACCTCAGTATTTCGGACGTGATGTCGTCATCGAGTCCGAGTAATTCTACAAATCCAGCGATAATCAGAAACAGAATCATCGAAATATGTGGAAAAAGACCATAACTAGATGCCGTACTATTTACGAAAGACAGTTGGTGTATGACAACCGTACTTGCCCGAAACGATTGTTTTCGTACGCTAAATGGAGAACAAAACGAAGTGGTGGTATTCCCCCATTACTGTTACACGGAAATTCAGATTTACTAGCTCAATCAGATCTGGCAAAAGCTGAGGCTTTATCAAACTATTTCAGCGAAGTTTACTTTACGTGTATTGTTTAAAGTACTTGTCTTAATCACACCGCTGACATACCAGCTATAGGGCCTGTACATGTGACTGAGGAAACTGTTCTTCCATTGACCACTAACCTCAAACCTTGTAGGATACCGGGCCCTGACGGGTTACATCCACGACTGCTATCATCTCTTGTGGACATTATTTCAAGACCACTCACAATGCTTTCCAACGTGTCCCTTTCGTTCACTCAACCTCCTAGAGATTGGAAAGATGCTATAGTCAGTCGTATATTTAAAGATGTTCAGAGACAGATCGTATCTAACTACCGACCTGTCAGTCTTACCAGCATAGTCGTTAGGTTACTTGAAAAGATAACTAACTCACATAGATTCGTACAATCTGTTAACTCCCGAACAACACGGGTTTCGAAACAGGCATTCATGCTTGACCAACTTACTTATTTTGATGGAGATTTGGACAGCGGCCCTTGATAACGGTCTGTCTGCTGATATGATATTCATAGACTTTAGCAAAGCGTTTGATAGGGTTTCGCACTTAGGTCTTCGGAATAACAGATGCTGTACAGGAATGGATAGGAAAATTCTTATGTGACCACAAACACAGAGGGAGAGTCAATGGGACGCTATCCGAATGGAAGCTGGTTGAAAGTGATGTATCCCAAGGCACCACTTTAGGCCCTCTACTTTTCCTTCTCTACGTTAGTGAATTACCGCGGTTGCTTAAATCGTCGACATTGTTTGCGGATGATGTAAAAATCTGGAGAACAATAAGAAGTGAGGCTGATCATTTGGATCTTTGAGCTGGCCTAGACAAATTAGTTAGATGGGCTCGATGTTGGGGCTTAAAAGTTAATTCTAGGAAGAGTGTGTTCATGAACATCGGACACGCCAATAGTTACCAGTATACTATTGAAGGTACATCTCCATGCGTGCAGGAATATAGACTTAAGGGTAGTAATAATAAGTCACGACTTGAAAACAACTACGTATCACAACGCAGCAGCTCCCAAAGGGCTTCGTGCACTACAGTCACTTCACCGAGCATTCAAATGCTTTGACAAGATGTTTTGAATTTTATATCCCACCTATGCAGGATCACTTACAGTACTGTATTCAAGCAGCTGGCCCATGTTCGAATAAGGATGCTAACTCCCTTGAGCGTGTTCAGCGTGTGGGAACAGAATGAGTGAAGGGTCTTTCTAAACTCCCCTACGATGAGCGCTTAAAACGCCTAAACCTTTTCCCCTTGTTATACCGTAAGACGCGGGGTGACCTCATATTGGCATTTCGTATCTTTGATTGCAATTTGGGCGTTCATATGTCTTATCTTTTTACTCCTTTCAGCACTGATAACTTCCGAGGTCACAGCAAGAGGGTTCACAAACCGCGATCAAATAAACTTAAAGTAGGGTTCCGTTTTTCTCACCGAGTGGTCAATAACTGGAACGTTTTACCCGAACAAGTGGTATCAGCCCCATCGGTGAATATTTTCAAGCTGGCCCTTCACTGGAAGGCACACTGTCAAGATTAACAGAGGTCCACCAACCTACCATCCTTATTACTAAAGACTAGAGGCTGAATAACCGAAGTTTAAAAGTCAGATTTTTCAGGCGCAGAGCAAAGCTACTCACACTAACAAGTTGTATACCCGACCCAGTCAGACTGATAGACGTTTCTGATTAGTCTGTGGAGTGTAATGGAAGCCAACAGTTAGGTAGAAATCGAATTTAGACCTATACCCCTTCCATAATCGTTGCATAAAATACAAGCCTTTTTAGAGAAAGATACGATGGTAGGGCGAGATTCTAATTTATGGACGACCTTTGAACGAATTTTAAGTGACCTTGAGAAATATTAGCCAGTCAGCAAACAGAGCAAAAATATATTATACAAAACCAGGGAAATAAAATGGACACACTTCTTATACGTGGTTTAAAAGCTTGTCAGGATTAGAAAGAGGTTCAGAGGTCCTAAAGGCGGAATGCATGAAGTAGAGGAAATCATCCATATGGCTACAGAATAGTCGTCCTCTGGAGCCATGATAAAGTCTCAAAATCTCTTTCAGCCTCGACCATATAGATTCAATATTGTTTATGTGCACTCCGGTTGTTGAGTGCACAAAATGCCAGTTGTGGATAACGACACGATCCACACAACCAGGCCTATGTAGGAACCTGTGCGCTCTCCAAACATCCGTATATATTGTAGTACCTAGCTGCAGCCAGTGTTACTGATGCTTTTATTATCCATTTCTCAATAATTGTCATAATTTGTCTTAGTTAGGAATTATGTATAGGGTTTTCACCACGAACTGACATCAGATATAATGCCAAAACTTTATTTAGCCAAGTGGATGGAAGACTTCCGCGCCAAAATCCGAGATCCGTTATCTTATCCTCGATTGGTTCGTCCGCAAATTATAGTCTCGCCCAAAAATTTGAAAGGTGTGCAAGAACTATTTGGTATTTTGAAAGCTCTTGACAAAATCCCAGAAGACAAGAAATTTCTAAAACTTCACATGTCTTGTAAAGCAAAGATTTCCTATAGACCTTCTTGATAATGAGCAGATAACTTTTGTGTTCAAATCCACCCAAATTATTCCGACTGTCACCATGCATTTCCACTGATACCTGTCAACTTGAAGTTTCGCTTTAGAAAAACTACGAAGGACGTCAACGTGCGCGTACAACGTAGCCTGTGAAGGTTTCCCGTCTAAAGAAAGGATTATTACTTAAAAAACTAAAACTTAGTTTCTTGATAAGCTAAATTCACAAGTCAAGTTTATTTAAATAGCATTTATTACGTATAACAAGAATGATTACATGCAAAAGCACTGAGTATTTATAAGGCTCCTTTATCCAAATATAGTATTATATTATAAAGATGACCAAAGCATGTGGACAGGCCTAAAACAATAAGACTTACCAAAATATTATATAGCCGTTTTACAATCCACGAGATAGCTGAGCAAAAGACCTAGTTAGGAGACGAATCATGACCTTGAGAACGAAATCCGCTCATCCTGAACATTGTCCAATATATTAAACGGTTCAGTTTCAGTTTGGGAAGGACAGGAGGCTCGATGGCCTATGTAAGTCCTGACAATGGTGGTCTCTCAGTTGATCCAACTTTCTTTTGAAAGGGTCGACGGATGGAGCCTCAACCACGTGCTGAGGTAGTGAATTCCACTCGTTGATGATTCGATGGGAAAGTCGATAGTCAGCTGACAAGTAATTTGTTCTCGGCTTGTGAACTTTTTTGGAGTGTCCTCGTAAATTCTCTGT